GAATTCATATATAAAATCAAAGTCATACAAACTACAACAATAAATAAACTTATCTCTAATTTCTCCCCAAGAAAATTCCTCGAAGTTCCTCTGAATTCTTCCTTTCTTTACAGCACACGAAATTCCTTTTAGAAGCAGCAAGGAGGAAGAAATCTCTCACTTTACCTCCACTCTTACAATCTCTCGAAGAATTTCTCACAATTTTTACACTCTAGCAAACACTAATGGAACCTTTTTAACCTCCAGGAACTCTATAGTCTTCTGACATCTCTCAATTTTTGGCCAAAATCTGCTTTTAAAGATGTGGATGAGTTTTCCTAGGAGTTTCTTGAGCATCCCTTAAAAATTTGTCCTTATCCACAGCCTGATTGGTCATAACCGTCGAGCTCACTGTCGGGGGCCTCAAGGGCGCCGTTGGTGGACCTTCTTAATGAATTAATTCTGGACTTTCGGGAAAATCTCGCCATCGGCGGGGGAGCCATCGGCGGGGTTGATGGCGCCGTCGGTGCCTTAGTTCAATTCTTCACATTTTGGTCTTTTTCGCTCCAAATTCGCTCCTTTTTGCATCTTTTTGCTCCAATGATCCTAATTCATCATTCCTACAACAAAAAATCAAAAATACCTTTCTTTAAAGTGCAATATCATCAATAATAGTATAAAATAGGTATGAAAATCTCAACATATTTTCCTCTGGTCAGTTTCTCTCTGTCCTTTGGGTTGGAGCCTCAAGAGGTGAGTTCCCACCATTAAATTCTTGTATGTTCTTGAGAGATTTTTTGTATGAGAGGAAAAGAGGTTATTATTATGGAGAGGACAAGTTGTATTATGAGTTTATACTCATGTTTATTTCTTGCAATGAAAATATGCGTGGACTTTGACTCTGTGGTTTTATCATAATGCCTAACTAAACTTTTCTTTGTGTGTTTGTGGTGTTGAGGTAGTGATTTGTGTTGAGGTTTTATAATATGATTTTATGTTAACTTGTTCTTGTGCTTGCATGGCCTACATTACTGGTTAGCCTCTGATCTTAATTTAATGTTTCGTGAAAATCTAACTTCTAACTATCACAAAATGGAAATTAAGGTTTAATTAAAAAATTCTGAGTGAATAGACATATTTTGCTGGAATTATGTAATCTTTCTAGGGATTAGAAAAATAATGCAGAATGCTAAGGGGATTTTAGAAGCCTCAATTTCATGGATTCTAAACTTATTTTATCCTTAACATAGGCATAAGAAGTAAAATATCCCAAATGGGAAACAATCTCATAGATAAACATTTAGGAAAACAAAATCATCACAATCCTTAAATCACAAAGGGAGGAATCTCATCAATCTTGAAGAAACTCTTGAGATTGTTTTAGTTTTTCTATCTCCTCTACCTGTGATCTATTATGTTCTCATTAGAAGTAGGATTTTAAGCCTCTTTTTGATAATTGACAAGCTTAGATAACTAAATTAATAAATTAGAGATTTCTTTTTGTTGAAAAAATTATTAGACTTTCTCTGTAGATTGATATGTTGTACTCTTTAACCACATTTTACTTAGCACGTATACTTACGTTGTTCGACCAACATACATTCAAGTAAGTTTCGACATGTCATGTTTTTGGCACCGTTGT